ATGTAACTACAGAAGAGTCAAGTTTTAAATAGGAAAAATATAGAAACTCTTTGGTCATTTTTGAGCGAGACGCTAACGGTCTAATCAGATTCAATGATCTATGCTAAGCTACAGCTAAGAGTGCTACCGTCAGACCTGGAGATCGGCTGAATGGATTTGAAAACGGTAAAACTCAACTGTTTAACTCTAAGGGAGTATTTTATTATTTTCAAAAATAGTGGAGTGTTCCTTTAAAGACTGGTTTTGTGGTCCAGGGTCACATATGGTAAACAATGAAAATATTAACATGTTTTTTTTAAGAATATCATTATTCATTTATTACAAATCTCTGTTGTGTTCATTTTGAATTGTAAAAATGACTCACGATTCAGTGAAGCAGTCAGCTGTGAACTCGGGAACAGCTTTGAGTCTGATTCAAACAACTTACAAACACAAAGCTTTTTGTGAATCTGACTCATTAAAAAGAGTGCTTTTTAACGAATCAAATTAATCATTTGGCAAATCTAAACATGGACTGAATTGATCACTACAAAAACCAAGTGTTATACCAAGTCCCAAACTGCTAACTTACTCAAATGATTCACAGACTGAATGAGTCCAATTCAATCTGCTAACTCACAAACAAGGCTGTTTAATTCATCTTTTTGACTGACTCTCTAAAAACCATATCAAAAGAGTCATTTATTCACAGCTCATAATTACTAGAAATTTGCAGCTCATATTTTGATATATCACCCATCCAAGCTAATTGTACGCAAAAACAAACAGGCAGCACAAAAACAAGAACTTGCAAACTTGCTCATAAAAATGTGGTGTTCTTTTAAATAAATCAAAATAACTGTTTGGCAAATCTAACACAGAAAACAAAATACAGTAGGAAAAACAGTACCAAATCTCTACCTTACTCAAAAGTAAACACTTTCCCCATTGGTAGATGTCTACTAACCAGGACACAGCCTTGTTGGGTTGCTGTGGCTATGAGTTAGCTGGCGCGTCTCAGGCAGAGTCAGTATAATACAGCTCTTCCCATTGGCTCGGCTCTTTCCCCCTCCTCTCCTCTCTTCACTTCTCCTTCAGTCAATCTCATTAATCTGTCTGTGGAGGGATTAGCCAGCTCATATTTTTAATTTACATAAATTGAGCTGTAGCCACTAGCCAGGCTACGAGGGAAAAGACTAGAGCTCCGCCGGGTTCAGAGATTACCTCAAACATCTCTCATTTAGCCTGAACTTTCACTGTTTCTCTCTCGGCCCTCACCAAACCCTCCAGAGGATTCTTTTTTCCATGGAGTTAAACCAAGTCACAAATTAGCCAGAGCACAAATAGCACCGTAAGCATCGTGCAACGACGAGACATCTGGGGAAGCGAGAATCAGCTAGTGCCATTTTAAAAGATTCAATACAAGTTAAGATCTATCGAGAGCATTTGTGGCTACCCAGAAAATATTTTCAAATGTGCTTTAAGTTGTAAAAACCGTAATGCATTTACAAAGGAAGACTGAGGCAAGAGAAAAAAGATGCATTTTCCAGCTCGTACTTGTGTGTTTCATCTATATTTTACCTGGCTTTGCATGGTTATGAGTTGTAATTTGTATAGCTTTGCTCATATGTTAACATATATAAGTCTATTAGTGTGTATTGTAATTTTTATTTCCACTAAGTGCATTTCTATCCACGTTTTCAACAAACTGAAAATTTCAGTGGGGCTCAATACATTTTTTTTTTCCTGTGGTTATCGATATTATACCACATATGCAGTTGATAAAGATTGAACCCAGAACATTCCTGATATATATCATGAAAGGACGAAAGCACAAAATTTACATTTTCTAAATCTTAAATGTCCAAAAAAAATTTAATTAAAATTGCTGAATGTCGATGAGACATTGTATAAATTGAATAGACATCTCAGCAACAAATGTGTGCATTTGCAAGCAAAAGCTTGGGGTCAGTTTTTTATTTTTTTATAAATTAATATTTTTTAATTGAGCAAGGACATATTAAACTGTTCAAAAGTAAAGACATTAAAATGATATAGGCCTACTTTTATACATGATTTTCTTTCTATTCATCAAAGAATGCATGCAAGTTAATACCTATTAATTATTAGTACATTTTCAATATTAAGATATTTGAATATTAATTCAAATATGAATAATAATACAATTACAACTAGTATAGTGTGTGTGTATAAAATGATTTTATTCTAGTATATATTATAATATAAACTCATATTTTGAGTTAGTAAATTCAATGTGAAAAACACCAAAAAATACAAACTACTAAAACAAACACCCATTATGACCAGAGCAGTCTAATTCATGAATACATGACTCTTAATGACCGGTCTTAACAGTTAAAAAAAAGGTATTCATAATGTATTTTTAATGAAAAAGTAAGACAAAGAGAAAAGACAAATGATTTGAATCAGTCTAACAAATCACTTCCTGAATCCGTCAGCTCGGTTTACTGAACTAACATTTGAAACATTATGTTTCTATGACAATGTGAAGTTAAAGATTCAGATTCACGAAGAGTGTTGCTGTGATAAATGGTGTTTTAATTAAAAACCAATACTAAAAATAGAACTATTGTTTGGAAGGAGTGCACCTTCACTTCACAACAGAAATCTGTAAGCAACAAAGAGAAGAAACACCAAAAGACACGGATATGTAAGTGAAAGCGAGACGGATGGGGTGAAACAGGTGAGCTGTGAGTTAATGGATGGAGAGGGTGAATGAATGCTGTTCCTAGGAGGCGTCTGAGATGAAGGGCTGAGGGAGGTCAGGCCGGACCACAGAACGGGCTGCAGAAAGCCATGAGCACAGTACGTCTCATTCCTGTGTCCTAGTCACACAGCAAGGTCTCCGAGCACATTAACAACACCGGCACAGAACACACACTCACAAATCACAATGAGGGCAGGGCAGCAGCCAAAACACAGAGAGGCCGCGTGTGGTTACTCTCTGGAAAATGTCAGCGCTGCATTACAAGCATTGAACCTGACAACAATAAAGGGGGATTTTGAAATACATGTTCAATATCTCGACAGCTGAGGTGTGGCATAAGATATCGACTTACCTTAAATTCTCAGATTCTGCCTTGATTTCCTCTGTAAAAGAAAAAGAAATAGTCACATGAGTGTGGTAAAAACAAACTAAACAAATAAACTACCCTAGTAATGCGGTTGAATTAAAGCCAGCTACAGACTTAATCAGATGTTTGACTAGTTTACCATCTACTGCCAGGGAAACACAAGAGTTCAAGGAGAGCTTGTAAGATATAATATAGCATAATGCAAAATCAGTTTTCCTAAACATAATAATAAAATAAAAATATTAGACAAAAACAATATTAGAATATTTTATACAGTTGTATTTAAATTAAAAAAAATAATAATTGTATATATTTTTCTCAAAATGTTATAATGTAGTAGTTTTAGGACAGACATTCCTTTAATTTAAATATACATTATTATATTATTTTATGATTATAATATATTATATATAATTTATCTTTTTTTTTATTTTTTATAAATCCCTCAAAGTGCAAAGTCATCACCAAAAAAGAAAAAAAAAAATTGGATTATAAGTATGGATATATATCTAAAACATACATATACAACACATCAAAAAACAATGCCTAGCATTGACTATGAATGTGTTGTGGTTTTGAAACAATCAAATAAATAAATGGCAATAATAAAATGAACATGCACTTTCTAGAATAAAGAGAATAAACAGGCAATTGCTTCTTTTCACTGAAGGCCTCTACTATTCCACACTATTACTGGTGGTTAAAAGCTAAATTAAATCAGCAAAAATATTGAATAATCCAAAATGCAAGGGCTCAATGACACCAAACACAACGAGAGCTCACTCAGTGCATCATTTTGTCGAGAGCTATTTTCACTGCTAACACTAAAGAATTGAATTACGCTTGGCCCCTTTAACACCTCTTCCTCTGAAACCAGTCATTAACCGCATCAGAAATGCATTCAGTGTTGAAAAAATCTACTAGCGAGAAGCCCAGAGTCAGAGGTACATGCTGCAAACTTCTGAAAGCTTCTACATTACATAAATTAGACTTTAAATCAGCTTTAACACCTGGATTCATTAGAGTACAAGCACTTTGCGATGACTTGCGTCGGTCATGCCGTTACTAACAGGTCAGGATATCTGACTACTTCAGTCTGTGCTGGTGTTTTGAAAGTAGTTTGGATTGAATATGTTTATTCTGAACAAGAGCCTCTGGTCTCAGCGAGCAGCTGCAGTCATGAATGACTAAGTGCTCGGCACGAGAACAATGTAATACTGTAGAAAGAGCACTCTCCTTCCTCCTCTCGGCAGTAAACAATGACGAGTACAGCAGCATCTGACATCTACATGCTCTGCTGATAGACAGCCCTCCAACATGCTAAACTGCCTCTGAACACGGACAGAACATCGAGCACTGGTGTCTGCTTACCCTCACATCATTCTCCATCACTCTGCAAGCATTTCCAAAATTATTAGGGATATGGCTGGGATCTTTGGCCAGCAATGAACTCTGATAAGGAAATGCTGTTGCCCTGCATAACCTTCAAGACCATTCTTGGTTTACTGTGTAGTTTAGGTCTCTGCCTGGTTTGATTCAACTAAAGTAGCTGTAGTCAGTGGGTTCACCGCAGTGCAGGATGAAGATCGGTTTAATCAGTTTTAGTGGTAGACTGTCCCTGGCAAAACACAGAAACCATAGCAACATGGTCATTTCCCAGAGAGCCACAACAAGTATTGTGTTACGTGAAATGTCAATATTGAAAACACCCTTGGTCTAAATTGATCCTCTCAATCTATTGCATTAGGTCCATTCAATGCACTTATTTTTCTAATCTTCAGAGAAAGCAGTGAACCGACCTTGAGAAGACTCTTGGCTTGAGCAAACAAATCAAGAAAAACAAATCACAGCCTCCACATCACAGCTGAAAAGTAAAGGAGAAACCTCACAGAAAAGCACCCCATCTAGAGGCTCCACCAAAATTCTAACCGTTTTTGCTTTGTAGCACTATGTACATAATTTTAAGTACGTAATTAAATAATAAATTAATTTTATTAATTATATTTTAGAAATGTATTAGTATTGTGATATTGAATACAGGAATGCATTAGTTCGTCATCCATTGATTTAAAATGATGTTTATTTATAAATGTGTTGGTTTTGTGTGTCTTTGAATGAACAGGAATTCGGTCCATTCAATAAATGCCAAAGTCTAGCCTATAGTTTAATGTCAGCAAACTTGGAACATTTTTGATTGCTATCCTTACGATGACATCACGATTCAATTGGAATATTTTTTTATTATGTTATGCATTAAATTATAGTTTACTTTATTATAATCAGACATAGTATTAAGATATATAGTTAACATCTAACTAAAATAATACACTAATCACCAACTCATACACTCACACACACACTCTACTTCTTCAAAAGTTTGTCGGTAAGATTTTTTAATGTTTTTGAAAGAAGTCTCTCTCTTATGCTCACCAAGACTGAACTTATTTGATCAAAAATGCAGTAAAACAAGAAAACTTTGAAATATTACTTGTAAAACTTTTTTATATATTAATATATTTTAAAATGTTGGCTAATTTATTCATGTGATAGCAAAGCTGAATTTTCAGCATCATTATAAATGTCTTTATTGTCACTTTTGATCCACTTAATGCATCCTTGCGGAATAAAAGTAACTTTCTTTCAAAAAAATGTTTTATTGTATATATCCATACAGTAAATGAGGCAGACTGCACTGAATTAAACTGTTCTGCGATATTTTACTTTAGGATTGGATAGGATTAAATGTCTATTCAAAACAAGCACTATCTTGCCACAGCATAGATTTGTGAACATTATTAGCTGTTTGCTAATGGACTGAAGTAGGAATTAAACAGGAATTCAACCTGCTACCATGCCTGCTTCTTAGACTCTTAAACATCTAATGAGTAGCACAAAACACAATCTTACTGTATGCCATACTGGTGCACAGTTGGCACCATTATAATTTTGAAACATTGCCAGCGCCCACACTTTCTGAGTCGACAGTTGGGACAACATATTATGACACCACATAAATAAGTTTCTTTCAGTTACCATCAGCTTCAAATGACTGATATGAAATCTGTCTGTGCCACACAACACTCACAATCTCTAGTGTGATAAATAAATAGATAAATAAACCTTTTGCAGGCCTCAACGCTAAGGATTTTTTCTACTGGCCCGGTCAGGCCAGTGATTCCAATTATTACTTGCTCTGCCAACATTTTCACTGGCCCTGCCACAAAAAAATAAAACAAAATAGTTGCCTTTATCCTTGTTTTTGATCTACGTTATCTTGTATTCTAATAAATAAACTTAGGCCTATATGACACCAATATTTTTGATACAAATTACATTTTACAATTCTCGATTTCAATTTCGATACAACAGCCAAAACTATTAGCCTGACAATTATAAAGTTCAATCAAGTGAACAGTCAGTAAACAAATTACAAGCAATAACACCACTGAATATATAGAACAAAGATACAAATGAAATGATTTAGGATTTTATGTTTGTAGGTGCTCAGGTACAGAAATTGAACAATCACAAATAAAATAACATTTCCATATTCTTCACTGTGTTGCACCTTGATTTTTCATAGCCATTTGAAATTAGTGGTAACCACTGCATTTTAATCATGAATTGATCAAAAAAATTGATTTAAAGTAGACTGTATAATTTCTAAATTTGAAGCAAAAACAGAATAACCTGACTTTAGCTTTGTGCCACATAAATTATGCGTCAATTATGCCACATAAAACACCTGCATGAAACCCAAAACAGCAGACGGGCTGAATGAGATGCAATTTCACTCTCTGACAGCAGGTGGCGCTCATGGAACAGCAGCGTTTACTTGCTTACGGCTGTACACAAAGCAGCACTGTGCATATTAGCACTACTTTAAATGCATTACACCGAGCCAAGATAAAAAGAAAATGCCACGTAAACTTTTCTGAAAACAGTCAGTTCCCCTCAGAAACACAACCATATAAAATTCAATATTTAGTACTTTCTTCCTCTATTTCGCGCATCGTGAACAGTGATCTTGCTCTGCCTGCTACAGAATTTTTCTCCTCTTTCCGTCCATCTTCAGCGTCTCTGGCCTCCGTTAACGGCTGTTTATAGATTAAATATAATAATAATGATATATTTCCACACAAATGACATTTTGAAAAAAATTCTTGCAATGCAGTTTGTGTGCTAGCACGGAACAGAGACAGTCTCCGAAATAAAACAAACAATGCCCGGTCGGTCGGTGCATCTCTACTCCACTGTATAAATGAAATATAGATGAATCATTGTTAAAATTACAAAGATAATCGCCAAGACGGGTATTTTGACACATTTGTGTATGTATTTGTCCATTCAAGTGCAAGAAAGATGCGGAAAAAAACTCAACTCTGGGCTGTCTGTGCACGCGCTGAACAAACAGAACAGCGCGCAAGTACTGAATGGAGTTGTCTTTCGCACCTTGCTGGAATGCCTTTAAATTGCTTGATTTTTTTAAATTAGCAAGGCTTAAAAACAGATGCAAATGATAAACTTGCATCTGATAAACCCTCTCAACTTTAGCAGGGCCTCCAGACCTTCTGCGAATCCCTGGACTGGGACACACGGCATTCCACATAGCCATGGGAAAATAGACTCAAGCAGGCCTACTGTACTCAGCTGCCAGTGAATGAGGTAATATGAAAGAGACAATATGATTCTACTAGATATTAGTGGTCGACCGATATTGTTTTTTTGACAGCCGATGCCGATATCTTGGAAAGCAGGGTGGCCGATGTCCAATATAAAGCCGATATAATTTAATTTATTTTAGTTAATATTTAAGAAATTTTAAATCATTTGAAAATGGATTAAAAAATAAATGTGTAAAATAAACATACTTATACTTTAAATGACAAAGTATTTTTCACAAATAAATATTTAATAAAAATATAATTAAAAAGGAAGTAAACACTGTAACCAACAGGGCACTCAGTAATCTGGGAAGTTTGTGTGCATTGAGATTTGGGAAGCCAAGGTAACACT